AGCTGAAAATATGAAAAATTTATGCCGGTTCTGGCTGGATAAAAAGGTATATTTTTTCTCCTGGCAATCGCACTGTAATTTTTTATATGGATATTAGAGCGGGCGAAGCAAGTAAGTGCGCGTGGAAATCACCCCACGCGAGCTGTGGAAATGACACCTTTTGCCTGTGAAAACGGAAATTTGTTTGGGTGTGTAAGCAAAACGTCCTGCTGTGAATACCTTGTAAAAGATACACGTAGTGAGAAAATGACACAGTTGAGTCAAGCACCGCTCACCGCTTTGTTTGTAGTCGTTTCGCTGTCGATCCTTTATAGAAAACACTTTTGTGTGTTCGTGTTTTAATATGCCTGTCTACATATCAGCTACTGGCCTACGTTCTACTTTAAACCTGGTGTTAACGCGGCCAAAAGGTAAGCAAAATGGTTGTGTTTCTTTGTTAGGTTGCCGTGCATGTGTATCGCATTAAGAACATTCGCTAAGGCACATAAATGCCATCAAATATTGAGACGATTGAATACAAAAACTCTCTCCAATAAATAATACACTCTGGCCTCTTAGCGGAGTGAACTCAGAACTGATTTCATTCGGTATGCTCGTTTGCAATGTTGTCCAGGTTTGCGCGCTCAGGAATATTTCCGTTGGAACCAATTTCTCTTTTGTTATGTGCTCACCGGGACGGGAAACCTCCTCGATCTATGGTCATTTGGAAGGCGTTTAGCAACTGCACAGGTATCTGTTAGGATCAGAAAAGGTAGGAAGATTTTACATTTGTACTACCCGTATATTGATGTATTTCGCGTCCGTTATAGTAACTGTTGTTTTTAAAAAAGGCAACATCCAAGTGTGCCGTTGCATTTCAATGCTAACGTCTGTGTAGTAAATTGTAGTATAGCGGGGTAAATCCCGAACGGCTATCATTCTTTGACTTTCATACCAGTATCTGTTTTGACGCTGACGCATTTCTTGCTCTTAAAGCTTTTTATCGTATAAATTGTAAGAGCTCTGTTAGCAAATTTATTCATATCTTCGAACACAGTGACTCAGATTACATATTTTTGGTGATGTTTCCCGGCTGTAGGACCTCAATTTTGACAGCGGGCGTTACCGGCCATGGTTACGTTTGAGAGGCTCTTTGGCCAATGTAGAAAAAAAGAATAAAAAATAGTTTACAATTTTCTTGCCAAAAAATGAAAGAAAATTACAAATGTGAACAGTATTTACTTATTTTCCTAAAATTGCTGCAAGCAGGGTTTAAGCTGGACTATTGAATAAACAAATTAATAGACAACTAGGTTGTTCTTTTTGCAACCATTTGTCGTGAAGAACAGGATATTTTTCTTTGGAGTTTTTATTTTCTTCTGGTTATCATGAAATTATTGCTTTCTACAAAATAATCGCCCTCACAACTCAACCGTAGCCTGCGCAAAAGGCGTCATTAAGGTGCTTAGGGTTGTTTAGAGGCGCGAGCGCGAAGCGCGAGATACGCAGTAGTACGCAGTTACGTCACGTTTGCCGTCGTCAACTCGATTTTTAAACGTACCGAAGAAGGTTTCACCTAAGCTTATCTTACTGCCAAAAGCTACAAGAATTTTTCTGTAGCTGTATTAAAACTGACGTACTGTTGCTGTTCGCAAATTTACTATGACGGTCGCTTCAAGCAAACTGATAAAGGTATTGCTGCATTTATTTTACTTTGGTGGGTCTCTCTGTACCCAAAGCAAAATAAGCTTGCCTTCCTTGGTGTGATCTTACTTACATTTGTTTCAACTGCGCTTCGATTCTATAACTCATAGATGTCACACGACCATCGCATGCACGACATAAGGTTATATGCCTTTATAGGTGATTGTCTGACTGCAAAACAAAACATTCCTGACTTACATACGACTATTGGCTTTTGCTGCGAAACTTTGCACCAGTTCTGGTGTGAAACTTTTACGGTGATTGCCTGACTGGCCACGTACGACTACTGGCTTTTGCTGCGAAACTTTGCACCAGTTCTGGTGTGAAACTTTTACGGTGATTGCCTGACTGACTGCGTACGACTACTGGCTTTTGCTGCGAAACTTTGCACCAGTTCTGGTGTGAAACTTTTACGGTGATTGCCTGACTGACCGCCTAAGACTACTGGCTTTTGCTGCGAAACTTTGCACCAGTTCTGGTGTGAAACTTTTACGGTGATTGCCTGACTGACCACCTAAGACTACTGGCTTTTGCTGCGAAACTTTGCACCAGTTCTGGTGTGAAACTTTTACGGTGATTGCCTGACTGACTGCGTACGACTACTGGCTTTTGCTGCGAAACTTTGCACCAGTTCTGGTGTGAAACGTTTACGGTGATTGCCTGACTGACTGCGTGCGACTACTGGCTTTTGCTGCGAAACTTTGCACCAGTTCTGGTGTGAAACTTTACGGTGATTGCCTGACTGACCGCGTACGACTACTGGCTTTTGCTGCGAAACTTTGCACCAGTTCTGGTGTGAAACTTTTACAGTGATTGCCTGACTGACCACATACGACTACTGGCTTTTGCTGCGAAACTTTGCACCAGTTCTGGTGTGAAACTTTTACGGTGATTGCCTGACTGACCACCTACGACTACTGGCTTTTACTGCGAAACTTTGCACCAGTTCTGGTGTGAAACTTTTACGGTGATTGCCTGACTGACCACCTACGACTACTGGCTTTTGCTGCGAAACTTTGCACCAGTTCTGGTGTGAAACTTTTACGGTGATTGCCTGACTGACCACCTACGACTACTGGCTTTTGCTGCGAAACTTTGCACCAGTTCTGGTGTGAAACTCTTACGGTGATTGCCTGACTGAACACCTACGACTACTGGCTTTTGCTGCGAAACTTTGCACCCGTTCTGGTGTGAAACTTTTACGGTGATTGCCTGACTGACCACCTACGACTACTGGCTTTTGCTGCGAAACTTTGCACCAGTTCTGGTGTGAAACTTTTACGGTGATTGCCTGACTGAACACCTACGACTACTGGCTTTTGCTGCGAAACTTTGCACCAGTTCTGGTGTGAAACTTTTACGGTGATTGCCTGACTGACCACCTACGACTACTTGCTTTTGCTGCGAAACTTTGCACCAGTTCTGGTGTGAAACTTTTACGGGGATTGCCTGACTGAACACGTACGACTACTGGCTTTTGCTGCGAAACTTTGCACCAGTTCTGGTGTGAAACTTTTACGGTGATTGCCTGACTGACTACCTACGACTACTGGCTTTTGCTGCGAAACTTTTGTGGTGATTGTCTGACGACATACCATTATGGCTTCTTGACCACAGAAAAAATGAGTGAGTAAGATCAAACTCAGGATGACAAGCTCTTATTAGTGCGGAGAAAAATACTACAAGAACACGTTATCAGTCTGGCTTTAAAAAGTAAACTGTTGCCATAGCGTATTTGAAAACATGGACAGTATTGTTTTTTTTTTGACCGCAACAGAAAGGTCCTTGTTTGTAGTCAGGCGTTTACGTAAATGACGAAAGAGGAAACCATCCTCCCACGTTGAAACTCGAGTTAAAGACCGCAAACGTTACCTTACTTTGTGGGTTCGTGGTTTTCAGCCGTAGTGGTTAGAAGTTTCCAACGGAAAGCCTGTTTACTCGAAACTTTCTATTTTTTCTGGTGTAGACTTTTTGCGGAGTAACAGTAGGCACGGCATACAATGCTGGCGATAAGCATGTGTCTACACTGAATTTGGGGTGATTTTGCAGAGGAGACCACACGTGGATCGAGCTTACTCGTTATGTTGTTTATTCTTAAACTTTATTTCACCTCAGTCGATTATCGTTGGAAAAAGTTGGCCTTAAGGCTTTGCGATGATCACTTTTTTTACGTGTTATTGTGTTATGGACAAAGTTCGGGATCTTCCTTTTTATCGTTTACCTGGCAAAAACTCAAGACTACTCCTCAAGTCCACATTCCAAAACTGTAAGTACCGCTGAATGTCTTTAGTTGTTATGTTATTGTTATGTAATTCTTAGGAATAGGGAATAATATATATTTAACAAATACACTGATCTTTTCCCTATATCAAAAAAAAAAAAAAAAACCGACAACTAGATAAAAGGGTGAAACAGGTTAAACACGCTTTTTTTTTTATATTATGTAAATTTGACGTAAAACAGATCTTGCCGACTTACATGTTTTTCTTGGCAATGTGTTAAATGAAACTTTGCTGGCTGGCTCATAACTTACTTCTGCTACCGCTGGCTGGCAAACACCGAATTCCGTTTCACTCTAGCTGGGATTGCGTAATTTTTGTTTTTTAACCTTGCTGGCTGGCAAAAAACCGTCAAACATGATTGCTGGCTGGGATTTTTATTTTCTGAAAGTCTTGCTGGCTAGCAGTGAAGAGCGGGTATTTTTTTCCCAGGAAAGTTAAATATTAACATGGGTTGACGTAAAAGCACTTTGCTAGCGTTTACGACATCGTATAATCAATTTTGCGAAAAATGTTCGTTGGGTACTCCTGTTAAGAGAGAGAGTTGATTATACATCCAAGGTATCCTTGTATATCAGTTACAATGTCAATGGGGTTCGCTGAGTCGTGTTTGAGTTATAAGCCATAAAAGATGACATTAACGATATTTTGACAAATTATAACAATGCTATGAAGCTTTTTATTTATTTTCATAACATAATTCACTATTTCAGTGGACCCTCGATTTAATGAAGTGCCAAGGGACTGGGCAAATGTGACCTCATAATTTGACATTTGATGCCAAAATATATGAGAATTTGAGTGGCTCAATAATTTTTATATTTTTCAGGCGAAGGTGGATAAGAGGAAGAGTTAGAGCAAACAACAAAGTTATTGTAAATTAGCCAAAATTTCCACGAACCCTTTGGGGTGTGGTCTGGCCCCTCCGTGAGAACAGTCTTATTCGAACCGACTGATTGCAATGACGATGATCATTATAACTCTCTACCTTAGTTTACGGCTGACAAAGGACGCTCTAGACTCAATGGCACCAGTTCCTGTTATTCCTGTACGAAACAGCGACGAAGGTGAATCGCTGACAAAACTTGCATGAGTGTTCATGTGTGGTGACAAGTTATTGTCGTGTTCCATACGGGATCCTGGGACGTCGGTAGATGACCTCTGATTTCCGGTCCCGCGGGAATGAGGCTGAATGTGGCACATGTTTCTTGTATGCCTAAGAGGCCTTCCTTCTTGGTCTGTGAGGACCTCTATTTTGAGTGCTTTTAGAAGGTCTCTTGATAAAGGAGCCTAGGAGCAAAAATTCAAAACGTCGATGTGATCGTCGAGGAAAAATGGAAAAGCATTCAGCTGGAAACGTCAACTAGCCTGTATGTTATACTCTCACAAACATACAATAATTTTATGCGAGCTTCAGCTCTTCCGGATGTATATTTTTCGAACATAAACAAACATAAATCAAGTATTATACATTTCTTCTAAATGCCAGAAATACTTTCAAAATATTTTCCAGTTCTCAGACGGTTATTTTGTCATTGGATTTGATGGCTGTGACCTTTTTCGCCATTTTGTGGAGTTCTCTGAATTAAAAACAGGGGTTTCTATTATAAATCGAAGAAATATACCATCGTACCGATGGAATATTACCCCGGATGTGCCGCCTACCTTGGTTCGAAGGTCTTTCGTCCTGAGATGATAGATGTAAAATAGTAAAGTGTAGAGACAACTTAGTTTACCGCTGAACTTTCGCACATATCGATCGTGAACATCTCTAGCCATTTGCACGATGACGTCATTTTACTACTACGACCAGAATCCTTCAGATATTGCTTTCTAGTGCAAATTAGGGCTTTTGTTATTTAAACCTCGCTGGGATTGCCAAATTTAGATATGAAAAGAAAAACGACGAGGATTCTGGTCGTAGTAGTAAAATGACGCCATCGTACAAATGGCCTATTGAAATAGCGGTTACAACAGAGGCAAACAAGGATCAATCGTCTTAAGGTATCTTTTCAACTTCTTAATAAGTCACACAGGCGTGGTTACACGCTCTTCCCTTTAGCAAGAATACTATACCCTAAAAACTGAATTTTCGATCTAATAATCGAATGGCAGTTTGACAAGAAAAGGTAGGCGAAGAACCATTCATTGGGTATAACTGCAGTAGGCCTCTACCAGTGGACGTTGTTTTTTGTCAAAAGTTTTCCATCAAATAGCTGGTTTGTTCAACAAAATCGTTGGTTAACGCTACTTGGGAACTTGAGCAACCACAACAACGACAATTGGAAGCCGAAATAATAGTAATAATAATAATAATAATAATAATAATAATAATAAATAATTATAATAGAAAGTTTTTAAGCACATAGGATGTTTTTTGAGCCACACACTTCAACCGGATGTGGCTTTTCTGCAATCTTGGGGCGCGTATTTGACCATTTTTTTTTTCCGCAAATCGTTTCCTTGAGAGAAAAGACACTAACGAATACAAATTTGGTACCATCAAGGCATTTGAAAAGGGTAAAGTATTCACTTCCGGTTGACATGCATTACTCAAAAACGTCTTTGCTTAAGCTTCCTTATAATGAAACAAAAACAAAAACGCGAAGCAGGCGCGGATCTAGGATAAATACTGACCGATTTCCTAAACGAGCGCCGAAGGCGGAAGCTTTTGGGGGGTTCGGGGGCACGTCCCAATGGGAAATTTTTTTCGATTTTGACTTCCCAAAGTCTCCTTTCTTGGGTTTCTGAGTCATTCAGACAGGATAATTTGGCCAGTCCTTCTCCTCCTCATGAGAATGGCAGTGCTATTGTCGCTTTTATTAAAAAAAAAAAATGGGTTAGTTCATTATGTTATGCATTTATCTATAAACTAGCCTTTGATCAATGATCTCCTCCTCATGTTCAGGCTTGATTTCACTCGGTAAAGCAGGAATTAGTTCATCTCCAAGTAAAGATGCATCCAAAGGCTCAGATGGTCTCATCTTATTCAGTATCGTCTTTAGTTTATCTGGCGATATTGCACACTCGCCGGCATGCTTTTGACTCGATTCTTTCATCGCCGCAACGTACTAAAACAAAGAACAAAACCTTTGAAGGACAAATTATAAACATTTTTAAGGATAAGATGTAAAATAGATTTGAACCCGCCCATGTGCGACCACCTCTCATAAACGATCACCTTCCATAAGCGGCCATCTATCCAAAAACATCAAAACTTTTCCCAGTCAAAGCCCTGTAATTATTTACCATACATTCATTTGTACACACATAAACTATTACACTACTACAACGCAGGAGATCAAGCAAGCTCTGTAGAGCTTTCAGACGATCTCCACTTTATTCTAAGCAGAAAACGACCACCTCTAGGACCACTTTTGGCTGAGACAGTTTTGTAATTTTTAACCTATTGTAGGCGACCAACTGACCCGTGGTCTAATCTCTATGTTCACAATCAGTACTACGGCTTCCAAGAGTATACACAACTTTTATAAGTGACAACGAGGAAACCTCACATATACAAACTGGAAGTAAACAATCTTGGCTTTAAATGAGACGTCTTGGGACCTCTTCTCGAAAGAGACTCGTATAGTTCGCGATCGATACTCCCAGGCAACCACCTAATCTTCGCACCTTGAGCGGTCGCTTACCGGAAGTTCGACTGTGAGGGAATCCATGAAAGAGAGTCCTAGTCTTGGATTCTGGATTACCGGATTCTGCGCCAGTGGAATTTGGTTTCCGGATTACAGGCAGCAGGATTCAGGATTCCTTAGAATATGTTCCGGATTTCCAAAACCAAGGATTCCGGATTCAACAGCAAATATTGCTGGATTCCGGAATCAGTCAAGTAAAAATTTTCCGGATTCTGTAATCCGGATTCTCTTTCATGGGTCGACTCTCTGTAATGTTATGTAAAGCGATGATTTGGATTAGAGATGAAAGAGGTTCATTTTACTTACCATGAGCATGAAATCCTCCTTTTCAAGACATTCTTGAAACGTTTGACACGCTCGCAAAGCCGATAATCTTCCCCGGTATTGAAAAAGCTTTTCTTTGATCTCACTCAGTCCACCTTGGTCTTGAAACGAGAAACACGCCCTCTTCTTTGATCCTTGTAATTTCTGTTTCTACAAAAGTGTAACCAATAATTCAGAACAAAAAGAATACCGTAAAATTCAGAAAATAAGTCCCGGGGCTTATACTTTTCAAAGGCCCTTTTTGAGAGGCTTATTTTTGGAGGGGCTTATATTCGGAGGGGCTTTTGTATGGAGGGAGATTTGCGTTTCAAAATCGATTGGGCTAGCCTTATTCTTGGAAGGATTTTTACCGTTTTTGCTTTGTTTTACTTTGTATTTGAGGGCAATTTTCCAAGTACAAGCCATCTGGGGGGCTTATATTTGGAGGGGCGATTTAACGGAGGGTTTTTTGCGTTTCGAGTTTGGGGGGCTTATACATGGACGGGCTTATTTTCGAAATTTTTGTACGGTATTCTAAATATAAAAAAAAAGGAAATGTGCTTTTGATTATTGACCAATGAGCTAAAGCAATTGTATAAAGTTTACTTGACTATTAAAGAAAGAACAGAAACATGCTTTAAGCAAAATTCCAATTTCTTCAACCCTCGGTTTTTCCACACTCCCCTTGGCACTTTTGAAAAAAAACGTAAATTCTGAAGTTCAAAAGCCAACTGACGTTTGCGTACTTCACTGCCGTCAATCATCTTAGCGGAACTCTAAGGAAACACAAGTTTGTGATTGTGATTGGTGGATTTCGATCCTCTTTGTGTCTCTCTGCGTAGCTTCTTTGCTTGTGATCGTAATTATGTTGACGGCAGCCAAAAGCGCAATTGTGAAGACAGCTGTTAAACTTCAGTGTTCGGGTGGTTTTGAAAAGCGCAGTAATCAGGATCAGAATCCAAAACTGACCTTCAATCTCAACTAAAACACAGCAGTTTAATACCCCTCTATGTTCTCTTACAACATGGTAATAAAGAGACTTTGCCCGAATATTTAGGCAAAACCTCTGAAGAACAATGTAAGTGCATTGCACAAAAACTTCTTGGCTTAAGATCTCAGATGCCCTGTTATGATTACGATCTACGTTTTGGAGTTCTACAGGGGTCTGTCCTCGGCCCGATGCTTTATCCGCTGTACACGTCGCCTCTTAAGGAGAACATCAAACCCCATAACCTTGATCGACTTCCACTTTTACGCTAAACAATATTCAGCTCTATTTGGCCAGTATAAGCCTAATGCAGCTGTTAATGACAATTTCATTAAGAATGAGATGTGTATTTAACTTTTAAAAGTGTACATAATTTACAGTAATGTTTAAATCTGTGACTATTACGTTTTATAACTACAATACTGACGATTACATTTTATGACAGTTATACTAACTACATGAGAAGTAACTGCAATTTGATTGGCTTAGAGCAGTGGTATTTCAGCTTAATTTGAAATACATACCTGTGAAAATTGCAAACCTTCTGCGGGTAGTAGTATAAACAAATAATAGCTTTTTTTGTACGTGATATTTGGCATAAATATCACTTGTGATATATCAAAATTGTCTCAAATTTCACTCGCCCAACGGCTCGTGAAATTACGTATAACAATTTTGAAATATCACTCATGGTTGTAATGCCAAGTATCACTACAAATCATGCTATTACCTATACAAACTAGAAAAATTCAGTGTCGATAACTCGCTACATTCCTTGCGGCTCACATGCGATCATTTTTGGTAGCAAAATATTTCTTGCACACATACATTTCAGTGTTTCAAATAAGTCAAGACAAAAAATCATCCATTTCTGATATTGAAAAACAACAACTGAACAACAACAACAACATATTAAAATGAATAAAACCTTAGTCGTATTCCTAAATGGCCCCTTCTACATTTTCGAAGTGGATAATATCATCATCATTTATAATCTACTATTGAGTTAACTACAAAAAAAAAAGCAAAAAGGATCTTTTAAACCGTAGAAGAATTGTATTTTCACCTTACCGAAGGCGTTACGCTGAATGAACTGACGTACGCAACAGGACGGAAGGGATGTCTGTAAAACGCAGACCGCGGATACCTGCGGATGGCGGATGCGGATGGAAAAATGCGGAAAGACGCCAAAAAAAGTGAAAAGAATAAAACGACCGTGGATGGCAAAAATAATTAAATAAACAAACAAACAAACAAACAAAGGAAAGAAATATTTCTTTCAAGTCTCGAAGTCGCGAAGTTGAGACCTTCATGTACAGTACGCTTTGTCAGTAGTTGGCACAGGTTACTCAGGGTTTTTTCTCAATTCTTTGAAACCTGTAATTCCTTTCATTAATGTCACAGAAACAAGGACACTCCGTTCCTCCTCCTTAAAACCACGCATGCTATGGTGCACTTCTCCTTTGAGCACATAGCCTGGATATAGTGTACTCAACTAACAGAAGAGAAAATATTCTCTGGGCAATCAAATCGAGAATTGTTTGTTTGAGCGCCTCCAGACAAAAAACGCAGCGTCAAAACTAGGAAAAAGGAGGAACGTAGGTATGTAACTTTCCGATTTGGCAGATGCCAATCAACTACGCCTATCGTGTGAATTTATTTTTTACAAGTTACACCTTTTGGGAATTTGTAAGTGCACGAATTATAAATTCGAATTTTAAAACCGCAAAATATACTGCCGATTGAAAAGAAAAAACAGACTTGATCAAACGTGATTAATTGCAAAAGTTATTTCCCGAAGAGTGCAAGAAAAAAACGCCTAATCTTTCCAAAACATATCTTTAGCGATGTTTTAGAACGTCTGTATCGAGCAACCTAAAACTCGTCATTAAAAACGTGACAGACAGAATTCGGAATCGAAAATGTATGATATTCCGTTTCTTTGGACAGCTCTCGTCTATCCGGGACGCAGCAACCGAACATAAAACTGCTTCTTACTGAGTAACAAGCCTTTATAAAGATTTAAACAATGTCTACACCAGATCACCCCTTTTTTTGTCACATAAATTCATACACTGTTTAAAGGTAGCCATTACGACACCTGAAGGAGGATCATGAGGTTATCGGTATATTGAGATCTCTCCTTCCAGATGACCCACCCGGCCCAGGAAAGGTTGAAAGTGTTGTGAGGGGAACCTAGGGTTTTCATCTTTATCCGACAAGACTAGAAAGTGTAACCGTTCGCAGATGTCATTACAAAGGCCGCACTTTCTTCTCAGTTATTTAAAGACCCTGAGTATTCGTCCAGCCAGGGTTCAAACCCGCCCCCTCCCACCCAGCAGACCGGCGCTATGCCAACTGTGCTAACCAGTCACCAGGTGGCGGTTTCATTGATTGAACCTTTGCGTAAAATTGTGAAAAGAAAACGAAGGCCAGACAAATGCCTCTGTTGAGGGTGCGACATATGGCTTGAAAAAGATTCTCTGTGGAAAAACCCTCATTAAACAAGACCTATTCACCCAAAACCAGAAGAAAAATAAGGATTTGTAGATATCAAGTCAAGAATCTTATCTTTTACGTCTCATCGGCAGCCTCTCTCCTTTAAAGTGGTCAAGAACAAACCGCAGATTTAAAAGGACCCAGTTTGCCGAGGAAATTAGAAAAGACCCGAAAATGAAAAAGAAAACCATTAGTGTAACAGTAAGTGACCTTTTGATCTCAAAAACGGCCAGTTCAGAGTCATGCTCTGAACTGTCTTATGGAGAGTTGACCAGAGTCCAGGCAGATCGAGTGTGCCAGCGTTACATGAAGAGACTTTTCAATACCAGGCTCCTTTGTGGGGAAACAGGGCGATTTACAAGGCGAGCGCGAAATAATCGGGATTTAAATATAACAGAACCATAAACGAAAACACATGCTTTAGTAAAATTTATGTATCCAAAATATTATTATTATACTATTGTCTGCAATTTTTTCTTTCCGCATTTTTCTATCCGCATTTTTCCATCCGCATTTCAACGCCCATCGGCGTCCGCCATCCGCATCCGTCACCCGCAGGTATCCGATCCTCGTTTTACAGACACCCGGACGGAAGAGGGAAGAAGACGGCAAACCTTAATGTGTGACAAGTGTGAAAATAATTTTGTTTGAAAAAACCTTCCTCCAAACTTCACCTTCCTTTAAATGGATCTTTTTTTTTGTAAAAGACTGGAAAAAAAATAATGTCAAGTGAAGATGACGTCAGATCAAAACAGACAAGTAACAGCCCTGTCACTTGTCACACCCAAGCGTTTTGCCGTCCTCTTCTTCCTGCCGTCCTGTTGCGATGTGAAAACAATAATTTTCCATTATTTATAACAGAATGTGGGTTTCTCGCCCTACTTTCTGACTTGTTTCCACACGATCTTCGTCCTTCTTTTTCTCTTGTTCACAAAGATCAGCAGCAAGACTAGAATTTTTGCACTGAAACAATAACAAATAATTTTATCTCTTTTTTTTTTTGGCAAGTTGTAGTGCATTCTTATTGTTTAGATTGAATGAAGGGCTAGCCATGCTTCATTATCATTTGAACCATGCAAAATGATACCATCAAATCATAAGAATGATGAATAATAATATCTTTTGATAATATCGCAATCTTTACAAATAATGGTGTGATGAGCTGAAACAAGTAGCAACCTTCCATGCGTTGTCAAGGTGAATTTTACCAGGTGAGATAACTCAGGATAACTATTCAGGGTTACAGGAAATATTTTTCAAAAGAAGGAATTTTTTAATTCCTCTATAAAAAAAAAGCTGTACGAGATGCTAGTATTAAGACATGACGAACAGGGATGTCATGCAGTGCGTGCGCATGTTCTGACATGGATATCCATGGTTCTGATAAAAAGTTAGATTTGGTTTTCAAATCAGGGACACTGCTGCATTTCTCGTGGCGTATTGTTGTGGTATATTAAATGCTTATGTGTACCCTAGCTGATTCTAGAGAATAAAGTGGTGAATTGGTTTAAATGAGAATGTCTTT